CGCACACACACACACACACACACACACACACACACACACACACACACACACACACAAACCAGAGGAAAAAAAGTCAAATATGATACAGTCCCACACAGAAACTCAAAAATATAATGGCCAAAATTATTGGCATCCTTAACTTAATGTTTGGTTGCACTCCCTTTGGAAAAAATAACTGAAATCAATTGCTTCCTGTAACCATGAATGAGTTTCTTACACCTCTCTACTGGAATTTTGGATTACTCTTCTTTTGCAAACTGCTCCAGGGCCTTCAGATTTGAAGGATGCTTTCTCCCAACTGCTGTTTTGAATCTCTCCACAGGTGTTCTATGGCAGAGGTCCCCAACCCCCATCCACGGCCCGGTGACGGTCCGTGGGCTTGCTGGAACTGGGCCGCGGAGACAGATCTCTCCCCCCCCATGCATAGGGGGCTTGTCGCGCTCACAGGTGGTCATGTCTCGCTCACGCGCATGCACATGGGGTGATACGCCCATCCGCGAGCACGACATGCCCCTCTGCAAGCATGACAAGCCCATTCGCAAATGTGGGGGTGCCCCTGCCCACCTGCGCACAGAGCCTGCACCCCCCAACTAGTCCGTGGTCCCAAAATAGTTTGGGGACCACTGTTCTATGGGATTCAGATCTGGACTCATTGCTGGCCATTTCAGAACTCTTCAGCACTTTGTAAACATTTCCGAGTTCTTTTTGAAATGTTTTTGGCTCATTGTCCTGCTGGAAGACCCATGACCTCTGGTGGAGACACAGCTTTCTGACCCTGGCCACTACATTGCACCCCAGAATTCTTTGGTAATCATCAGATTTCATGATACTGTTCACACAGCAAGGCATACAGTGCCAGAAGCAGCAAAGCAACCCCAAAACATGTTTGAAACTCCACCATGTTTGACTGTAGGGACTGTGTTCTTTTCTTGGAATGTCTCATTTCTTTTTCTGTAAACAGTGCCATGATGTCCTTGACCAAAAAGCTCCATTTCTGTCTCATCTGTCTACATTACATTCTCCTAGAAGGATTGTGGTTTTGTCACATAAGTTTTGGCATACTCCAGTCTTTCTTTTTTATGCCTTTGTGTCATCAGTGGTGTCCTCCTGGGTCTCCTACCATAGCGTCCCTTTTCATTCAGATGGCGACAGATAGTGCGATAGTGACACTGTTGTACCCTGTGTCTGCAGATCAGCTTGAATTTGTTGGGAAGTTAATCTGGGTTTTGTATCCACCATTCAATCAACCCTTGGTTGTAATTTTTCAGTAGTTTTGCTCTTCCGTCCACGTCCAGGGAGGTTAGTTACAGTGCCATGGGCTGTAAACCTCTTGATGATATTGCACACAGTGGACACAGGAACATTAAGATCTCTGATAATGGACTTGTAGCCTTGAGATTGTCGATGTTTTCCCACAATTCTTTCTCTCCAATCCACAGACATCTCTTTAGACTTCATTTTTTGTCCATGCTCAGTGTCACACACAACACAAAGGTTGAGTCAACTTTTCTCCATCTTAACTGGATGCAAGTGTGATTGCTATATTGCCTACAACTATTACTTGCGACAGGTGTGTCTAAATACAAATGAAAGGAGCATCTCATGCTTGAAAAGCAGTTATTTTTTACAATTCAGACAGGGTGCCAATCATTTTGGGCAGTTCATTTTTGGGGGTTTCTGTGTGTGATTGTATCAGATTTGACTTTTTGTCTTTATTTATTTATTTAATTTATATGCCGCCCCCACTACCAAAAGGTCTCTGGGTGGCTTACAACAATTAAACTACAATACAATTTAGAACAATTAAAATACAATTAAAATATATATAAAAATTGCCATCAGATCCACAGCTAGTATTATTTCAATTAAAAGCCTTCTGGAACAGGAAGGTTTTGACCTGGCACAGAAATGTCATCAGCGTCGGCGCCAGACGAATCTCAGTCGGGAGGGCATTCCATAGTCTGGGGGCAGCTGCCGAAAAGGCCCTTTGTCTACAAGCCGTCCCTCTTCCCTCCTTAAGGGACGGCTCTTTCAAAAGGGCCCCCTGGCTAGATCTTAACTGCCGGGTAGGTTCATATGGAAGGAGGCGGTCCTTCAGGTATCCAGGGCCCAAGCCGTTTAGGGCTTTATATGTCAAAACAAGCACTTTGATTTGGTCCCGGGCAGCAACTGGTAGCCAATGTAACTTATACAGAATCGGCTTGTTCCCTGGCGGCTGCACCACTCCCCAGCCACGCAGCTCGATTCTGGACCAGTTGCAGTGGCTGGACCATCTTCAAAGGCAGCCCCCCGTAAAGCACATTGCAGTAATCTATGTGGGATGTTACCAGTGCAGATGTGACTGTCATGAGACTCCGCTCGTCCAGGTAGGGCCGTAGCTGGTATAATTTCCGCAGCTGAAGGAAGGCGCCTCTGACCACCGAGTCCACCTGGGCTTCCAGAGTTAGACTGGGCTCCAGGAGCACCCCCAAGCTGCGGACCCTGTCCCTTAGGGGGAGTATAACCCCATTCAGGGCAGGGAAGTGGGCCTCCAACCTGTCCGGCGAAGCACCCACTAACAGCACTTCCGTCTTGTCTGGATTGAGTTTCAGTTTATTAACCCTCATCCAGTCCATTATCAGGTCCAGACACGGGTTCAGCACAGAAACCGCCTCACCTGGATTGGTGGAAAACGAGAGGTAGAGCTGAGTGTCGTCAGCATATTGCTGACTCCTCAGCCCAAACCTCCTGATGACCTCTCCCAGCGGTTTCATGTTGATGTTGAACAGCATGGGGGACAGTATCGAGCCCTGAGGAACCCCATGACATAACTGCCATGGGGCAGAGCAACTGTCCCCCAGCACCACCCTCTGGACACGGTCAGCCAGGAAGGAGCAGAACCACCATAAAGCGGTGCCCCCAACTCCCAACCCAGCCAGCCTATCCAGAAGGACACCATGTCTGATGGTGTCGAAAGCCACCGACAGGTCCTGGAGTATCAAGAGGGTCACACTCCCCCTGTCTCTCTCCTGGCAAAGGTCATCGTACAAGGCGACCAAGGCAGTCTCCGTGCCAAAACCCGGCCTGAAACCTGATTGAAATGGATCTAGAAAATCCGTTTCATCCAGCAGTGCCTGGAGTTGCCCGGCCACAACCCGCTCCAACACTTTGCCCAAATAAGGGAGGTTCGCCACTGGTTGGTAGTTGACCACCAGCCTTGGGTCCAGGTTAGGCTTTTTAAGGAGTAGTCGAATTACCGCCTCTTTCAAGGCGGTAGGGACCACTCCCTCTCTCAAAGAGGCGTTCACGGCCTCCTGGACCCAGTTGCAAACCCCCCTGGCTGATCTTCCAATTAGCCAGGATGGGCAAGGGTCTTGTGCTGTTCCAACGCAAACCAAAGAAATGAACAAGTGAGTACCAAAACATTTGCAGCCACAACAATTTTCTGAGAGAAGGGTTTCATTTTCTGACAGAATTGCAAGGGTGCCAGTATTTTTGGCCATGATTGTATACATCAAGCTAAGAAATAAATAGTGAATGAAAAGATTGCTGCCTAGTCCCAAAGCTTTAGTCATGCATCTCTTTCATCTGGAATAAGGGAAGGTAGCCTTTAAGAACTTCCTGTGGCTCTGTGGAGTCCATTTATTGTCTTTGTCCTCTTGTGTTACAGGTATGAGGAAAAAAATTGTCTCAGTAATTGTCTCTGAACTGCAGAACTGGAGGAGACTCTATGGATCATTCAGCCCCTGTCAAGGCAGCCCAGTGGGGAATCAAACTTCCAACCTCTGGATCTGCAGCCAGATTCCTTAAACCACTGAGCAATCCAGCAGTTCTTCAAATATAGTTTTTTAAAAAATAAAAATAAAACAGTGGCTCTGGAAGGGAGATAGAGGACAGTGGTGCCTCACAAGGCGAATTTAATTCGTTCTGCAGTTAATGTTGTCTTGTGAAAAATTCATCTTGCGAAATGCGTTTTCCCATAGGAATGCATTGAAATCTAATTAATGCGTTCCTATGGGCAAAAAAGTCAAATTTGGTTTACAAAGGGTTTATTAAGTGCTCTTTAAAGCCATACATATTATGCAGATGATTTCCAAAATTTCAATAAAAAACTAACTTTTAAAACCTCATAGAAAAAAATTTAAAAATCAGCAAACATGAGACAGGAACAAAAAACGGAAAACATTCGTCTTGCGAAGCATGGCCATATGAACATTTGTCTTGCGAGTCATCAACCCCCATTGCCAAAACCGTTTGTCTTGTGAGTTTTTTGTCCTGTGAGGCATTTGTCTTGCGAGGCGCCACTGTATCCTTAATACCTGAAACTCTCACATATAAATCTTCTCTTATTCGTTCCCCCATCCCCAAATTTTCTTGATTCCAGCATCATAATTTAGAAGGTGAAAAGGGCTCCTTTTTTCCATCTTTCCTCTGTTTTGCTGTTGGTAAAGTACTGTACAGGAAGTTGTACTTGCCCATCTGTAACATGTCACCTAGAGATCTATCAGCAGATACCAGTCTAACTTCTGTACTCGCCATGCTGGAATATACAGGACAGTATTGCTGGTCATTAGTGTCCACTTTGTACAACCAGGACAAAGCTTAAGAAGCTGGTTTTCAATTTAAGATATAACGCTAGGAGCTAAAAGTACCTTTTCAGAAAAGCA